AAAGAAAATTTAGGGAAGATAATTGTGTTAAATGAAAACCCCCTCCTGCTTGTTTTGTAGGAGGAAAGCCTTTTCTCTTTAATTTTTTTTTTATTTTATTTTTTTTCCATTTGCTTTGCCTCTTGCCTGAAGTATGTGATCTCTTTCTGAAATGTTTAATTTTCCAAAGTTATAGCAGGGTCTGTTAGCTCAGAGAGCTTTGTACCTCACCCATGAGGCCTGTTCCTCTGATCCTAATGAAGAGGATTCAGAGAAGAGAGAAAACGTCAGTGTATGGATAAGTGCAGTTTACCAGGCTTTCCAACTGGGAGGGTGGGAGCTGTGACTCTGTAACTCTTTGATGGAAGACCTGAATAGATTGTGTCAGCTTGTCTTTTAAGAAAAGTAGAAATTATTGCAGTAGCTGGGAATCAAAATTAAATGAGTCTATGAAGAATCTCAGGTGACTTTTTAAGGATATTTATTGCTCCCAAGCATCTTCAGTTCAGGTTTTCTCCAGGAGAAAAACACATTTTGAATGTTCAGCAAGATGGCCATTCTCTTAAATATGGGCTTATGTGTTTAAAAGTGTGGGTATGTGTGGCAGCAGCTCTGGTGCTGCGAGACCGAAAACCTTAGTAAGTCTGGAGTGCGTAACCTTAGTAAGTCTGGAGTAGGTCTGCTTAGGTGCATTGTTAGGAAATCTAAACCCAAATGAGCAGCAGCCAGTATGGGCTGCAAGTGGATTGAGTCCTGGTTCTGTCAAGTAATAATTAGTTATTATTAACAGCAGTGATGGGCAGACATAATGGCTCATGGAAACGCAAAGACTGGACGCTGCTTTGCGTGGTCGCTGCCGTTGCACACTTGTGTTACAGGGAGTAGGAAAAACCTTGTCTAGCGCCCGTATGTGTTATACTAGTGGTCTATTTTGATGGCAGTGGCTGTCAGTCTAGCACTATATATTACCTACCAGAGCATCCTTAAAAATATCAATTATGTACAGTTTTCATTGTCTTCTGAACTTGTAGTGTGTGGGAAGGACGGAAAGGAAGGTGCAAATGCGTCAGTGGTAGTGGAGAGCCAGTTCGAGCTAGCCAGCTGCTGATTCCCTGGGGCTGCAAAGGAAATTTGAACGTGGTTGTTAAAGAGAAAATATGTTCGAGTTGTCTTTGTATTCTAGAGATGTCTCTTTCTGCTTGCCTTATCTTACCCAGATTTGATAGCTGCTTGGCAAAAGTCTTGGCACTGCTTGGCACTAGCAATTCTCTGCTCATTGACCTGAAAGAAACGACTGCTGAAATTCAGAATGCACAGTTTGAGCTGTGCTGCCTTTGTCATTATCCAGTCAATACACTATGTTTTTTTCATATTTCTTTCTTTCCAGAGATAAGGGGAAAAATAGACAAGCTTTCATAATGTGTAATATTTTTCTTTTAAGTCTGATTAATCAAATACAGTCTCTACCAGTGAAAAAGCACAGTATGTGAGACCCACTATGCTAAATTTACACCCTGCAATTTTCAGACATTAGTTGCTGCTAAACTGACAGAGTGACTGGAGCCAAATATACCTGCTTTGCAATTATATCTGCTGGGTTGGTATTTATGGGAATAGCCAATGAGACTCAAGATTAACCCTTAATGGCAACATGCTGAAACTGCTGTTTCATTAGTGTATTCATCAAGGCTTTCAGGAACTTCTGCTATGGCCAGTCTCAGGTGCTACTGCAACTGGTAATGTTTGCTGCCCTAGAACCTTGCAAAAAAGATTGCCAAATCTATAAACTTAGTGTATCCGAAGTTTCAGTTTGGGTTTTGTGTGAAAACAAACATATCCTGTCATGGAGCTGAGTAGATATACACTTTGAAAATAAAAACTTTACTACTGAATATGTAGAAGCATTGTCTTTGCCTGGCCATCTTGAGTTCTTGGGGTTACTGAGCTATTACAGACTTTTGTCTTTGTTGAAAATTTCCATGAAATTCCTGAGATCTTGTCTGTTTCTGTAGGTCCCCATCTATGTACCTTCTGTCAGTGATTCCTCAGCTCATCAGGTTGCTCCACAGCCCTCGGAGCATTTGCCAGTTTGGTACTCTCTGTCTGGACATGTCTTTGCCCCAGCTTCTGCAGAAAGTACACTTTGTAGCATACATAAATATGATGGATGCCAGGAGGAATGTGGAGCTATCAGAGTTTGTTTAACCAGCAAAATGGTGCATGGGGTTATAGCAAGTTTTTAGAGATCTCCTGAATTTTTATTTGGCTCAGTGGAAGAATACTGACGTAAAAAAAGCCTTGAAAGGCAAGAATGGTTTTATAGTTAATCAAAAACTTAGTAATTTCTGTTAACTTGTAATTTGTCCCAGAATTGACCCATCTGAGTAAAACACATCTAGGTTTGGAAGCTCCAAGTGGCTCAGGTGAGACACCCAAAATATTTGGATTAGGGGCTGAAGTATAGAAAGGCTTATTCTTTCTTAACTAGAGTGCACTGGGATGCTTCTCTTTAAGACTTTTTTTCTAATAGGCACTCTGAGTAGTGGTGTGGTTTAAACTCAGTGGTCAGACAAGCACCATGAGCTGCTTGCTCACCCTCCCCTGCTTGGGGGATGGGGGAGAGAATTGAAGGGGTAGGGGTAAGGAGACAAATAGGTTGAGATAAAAACAGTGTAATTGAAATAAAAATAATAATAGTAATAATAGAAAATACAAACGAGTAGCACACAATGTGATTGCTCACTGCCCGCTGACTGATGCCCAGCCTGTTCCCAGCTAGTGATCCCAGAGAAGTGAGAATCCCAAAATCACAGTCCCAGAAGTGAGAGCCCCAGCTCCCAGCAGCCCTCATCGATACACTGAGCATGATTGTTACAGGATATGGAATATTCCCCTGCCCAGTTTGGGTCCGTTGCTCTGGCTGTGCTCCCCCCAGCTTCTTGTGCACCTATGTGTGGTCAGGACATGGGAAGTTGAAAAGTCCTTGATTTCTTAGCAACAACTAAAAACATCACTGCATTATCAACATTCTTCTCATGCCAAATCCCATACTGAATCCAAAACACAGCACTATTCTAGCTACTAAGAAGGAAAAAAAAAAAAAAAAATTAGCTCTATCCTAGCTGAAACCAGAACAAGTAGGCTGGCATTTTTATTTTATTTTATTTTTTTACTTTCAAGGCCAGATTAGACTTCTAACAGGCAGGTATTAGTTTTCTTTATTGGAAACTCCTCAGAGGATTTTAGGAAATAACGGAAGCAGAATTGGCATGAATCAAGAAGCAAAAAATTGGAAAAGGAAGAAAGCTGGTATACCACATAGACTAAATCCTGAACTGTTTCTTGTGTGGCCCTTTCCAGAGACGTTAACCACAATTGCCTCCAGTGCTCCTGGGGAAACGTTCATTTTTTCTCATGCACGTATCAAAAGTTTTTCTGCTTTTTGATAAGTCTTCCTCTGCGTATATTCATTCTATTAGTCTTCAGTCTTCACTGTGCTGTTAAACAGAGCAACTGTTGAAAGAGCCAAAATCCAAGATGCCTATATTGCAAACAAACCCCTGATTTTACTCCTAGCTCGAAGGCAGTTTGTAAAATATATATATATATATATATATATATATATATATATATATATATAGTGCATGGATGGTGTTTTGCTGTGACAGTATGTGCTGGAAAGAATTGGTCACCAGTGCCTTGCAGAAAGATTGCACAGCAGCACTATGCACCCGCATTAACATCCCGTCTGCGTGGGGGCACTCTGTGTTCCTCTGCAGTGGAAAAACATGGTTCCTCTCGGCTAGGGCTTCTGGTACTATGAATGAGTGCAATAAATAAGGTGAAACTAAAATGTTGTGAAAAGAATGAGCCTCTCACTTCAATATAATCCCTGTTATGTATCTTCTTAACAGCATGTTTCCCATTGACAAAATGCAAATGCCATTTATTTTTCTATTATTGATTTACTTACAGAAAGCAGCAGAAATCTAATCTGTGCAGCAAATACTGAGTCACTTTATCTTCTGTATAAATTTTTATTATTACTGTATAAAGCACATCAAAGAGCTCAGTTTGAATGGGAGAAAATCATGCTTTAGGTAGGTGGTTGTAAAGGCTGTTATTTTTCACTTGAAGTGATTATTTTCTAGGTCTCTGGTAGTGATTATGGGAAATTCCCAACTTCAGATAACTAACCACTTGTATACATCTGTCATTCCTGAGCCCCATCTTCTGCCCCCACTTAACTCTCTTTGAGGCTTGCCTGCTAGAGGACAGGTGACCAGAGCTATGGGAAAAAGACAAATTGCACACTGTCTTTTAGAAAAGAAACCTCTCAAGTGTAAAGCAAGGGCAAAAGCTCTTTAAATATACCTAGGGCATGACATTTGAAGAGGCTTGTGTCCTGTGGTGTCTCGGTATTGAATTAGACCAGTATATTAGCAATGATCCTCAAAATATTGTGAGTGTGGTGTGAGGTCCTTGACCACCGTCTAAAGGGTGTTGCTGCGGCTGTGCCATGGTATGGCAGGTTTTCAATATAGGGTGGATGAAAATTGGCTGATTATAAACCAGCCTGGCAGTCCTCTGAAATCAAGGTTCTAGTTTGTCTTGTTAAGTTGAAACTTTTTTCTGAAGATGTGTATGTCCGTTTCTGCATTATCATTGCAGCTGGAGAAGAAGGAGTTGTCTTTCCCTTTGAAGATGCAGGGATGTTCTAAGTTCACTTTGCACCATGTTTTGTCACCCAACTCGAGTGGGCTTCCTGTATGCCCTCTTTTCAGTCTGATCCTTATCTCTGTTGTATTTGCATTCCTATTCAAAGAGGCTGTCTATTTCCAAGTAATGCATCTGTTGCTCCCTGTGTGCTGTCACTAGCACCTAATGCAGTCGCTCTCCTCTTAAACTGTTGCCTTTCTTTCACTCTTGTCTTCTGCTAATTCTTCTCCTAATTTTATCTGTTGCTTCGAGGTATTGCTTGGAAGAACATTCTTGTTGCTCTTCCAGTTTTTTTAGGAGCCTCAGGAGAGAGGTTTCTGGTCTCCTCGTTTTCTGTTCCAAGGGCAGGACTTCAAAGAAGGATCTGAGTTGCTTTCCCAGGGTAGGGAAGTCTGCAGATCTGTCTGTCTAGATTAAAATCGAGGTTATCTGTCATCAGTCTCCTAACGCTTGGAAATTAGTTCGGTGTTATTGAGTGAGAGGTTATGAGTTTTTTGTCTTTTATTGTTAAGGACATTGTTGATGGTCTGTTTTGTTACCTTGGCCTGCATCCTGGCCCTTCTTGGACTTGGCCCCTCTGCAGAGCCTCACATCCCAGCTGTGTTGCAGGCTCCTTCCGAGGTGTTGCCTTTTAATGTAGCAGTACAGCCCAAGTTCTCCCCTTGTTACCAATACCACAGCTTACAACCCCTCCTGATGTGCTGTACTGACATGCAGTCAGACCTAAATGCCTGAGTTACTCTCCTGATATCATCAGGATGATATCATTATCATAACTTCATCCTGTTTTGCTTTTGCCACTGTGCTTATGCAGCGAGTTTGCTTTCAGAACCCTGCATGTTCTGCCTCTAGCCCACGTGTCAGATGGTGGTTCACCAGTAAGATGTCAGCATGGGATACCAGTCTTCATCCCCTGCATGCTTGCTGGGACACAGCATGGCGTGTCTGGTTCTGACAAGCAGCTTTCCTTACTGGAGAAGACTTTGATGTGCAGCTGCCAAGACAGTTACTGCTCTTAAACTTTCACTGCTTAAATAAGGAATTGTGGCATAGTTGTTAAGGGCAAGCAACTTTATTAGAATAAGTGATGTCTGTTGGAGTTGAAAATGGCAGAAGTGTTTTGGTTTTAGATTATCTAGTTTACCCTGAGAAAGACTATAGGTTAGCTATGGTCAGTTTGATGTAGTGCTTCTGTCACTGACCAAGAATATCATTCTGTACTGTCATCACCTTACATATTTGAACTCTAAAAGTATCTGGAGATGCAGAGCTTGTTTTTTTTGGTTTAGGTTTTTGGGTTTTTTTTCCTCAGTGGGTAGAACATGCTTCTGCCTACCAGTTAACAGTTTCTGTTTATATTTTTTTTTCCTAAAATACATAGCTCTTGTTTAAACTGCATTCATTTGCAGAGGTTGATTCTCTGTGTGATCTGTGTAGTGGGAAAGAAGACTGCAGAAATACTAAATATAAGTGCTAAGTGACTACTTACTGGAGAAGAGGCAAGAGGATACCTCCTCAGCATCCTGCCGAGGGACAAGATTTCATCTCCTTCATAGTTACTGCTTTTCCCATCCTCTCCTCCCCTTCCATATTTTTGTTTACTGCATGTTTGGGCATTGTTGCTTTTGTATGCTGAGATGTAGGGAGTGATAGCATGTCCAGTATCAGCTACCAACTCCAAAGGACTTCAGTGCTTTTTTGCCTATAAGTTACTATATAAGTATACTTTACTGCCATATTGAAAAGCTTCTAGAGCAACTGACATTCTAGAAACTTTTTTTTTTTCAGAGAATTAACACTGATATTTACAGCCTCACAGCTAAAAGCTGCCGCTCCTTGTGATTACTTCTCATTGGAGCACCCTTTTAAGTCATTGTTGTATGGCACGACAGAAAAGCTTGAGGTAGCACCTGCATTTGCAGAAATAAACTAATAGTAAATTCAGTTGTTTTCTCCAGACAGAACGACTGTGAGATTTTTCTTACATTGTGTGTAAGACCTAAAAGAATCTGCCCAGCTAGTAAGGCTGAACATCCCAGAGTTTGCACAGCTAACCATAATTTCTGAAGGCCCTTAAATACAGGTAATTCAATACATGTTTTTAAGTAAGAAAATGTAATTAACAGCAGCCTTTTATGACCCCTTGCATCTGCATAATGCAAAAAAAGTCCTTGCAGAAACAAGTCTCAAAGAGCAATTAAAAACCTTTGATCTTTGAAAGTAAAGGTTAGATTCTGTGATTGGGAAACTTGAATTTAATTGTGCTAGGTAGGTTTTTATTGACATGGAGTATTGTGTGACGAAATTTAAACCTAAGCCCCAACTGTTAGAAACCAAAAAAACCCCAAGGTACTCATTGTTAAATGGAATTTCTATTCATCACTTCTGTTGTTACAGGTTATTCCTTTAAATTTGATTAATTTCAGACATTGAATTCACTTTTGTTCTGAACCTGCAGCTTGGTAGGTATTAGCTGGACAGATGTTCCTTTGCCAGCATGTATCTGAACTGAACTGACAGGATTTCTATTGGTTCTGCAGTCATGCTGCAAAATCCCAAATATAATGTCAGTTTGAACTTTGTCATTCTTTATTACCTTTCTTGCTCTTCTGATCATTTAATTGAATGATACATTCTTTTTTAATCTTGGTGTTCACTTTGTACAAGATTTACTGTCCAGTTCTGCCACTTGTCCTTACTGGTTCACAAGCTTATGATTTACACTGGGTGATGTGTCGGAAGTATCATGTTGCCAAGGAGAATGTTAGACAAAGAAGGCTGTGTTTGCTGAGAGACCAAGCAGCTAAAACCTGGGCATGTAACAGCAGAAAGTAACTATAGACAGATCTGTATGTAGCAGTTTGGTTTCATTTCACATGAATGTTTAAAGACTGGATTTACAGGTGACTGATTAGGCCCTGTATTGGGAGAGCATTTTAAAATTTCATGTTTTATTGTGTTTTGGAGACAGAATGTAATTGTCTCAGCAACTTGTTAGATAAAGGCAAATTTGTGTTCAATCCCTAGGAAAGATCCTTGCATAAACTAAAAATTATTAGTAGCACTCCTCCCACCTTCAAGGTGTTTATCTGTCTATATGAGACTGTTGGTGTTTTTTGTTTTTTGTTTTTTTTTTTTTCCTATCAGTAGGCCATTCGGGATTAGTGGTCAGACTTCCTCCTGTTGAAGAAAAAAGATAAGATTCAGCTTGGAAATCTTATCTCGAGGTGAATGTTGTCCATGAGTACATTTCTCTTACTCTTTATCGGCAGAGTAAGCAGTGAGATGAGACTGCTAGAGGAGGAGTTTCGACATTAAGAGCTGTTGTAGACAAAAGAATGTAAACATTTCCCTGGCTGTGCTTGGTATCATTTAGCTTTCCAGTCAGCTCCTCTTGTCTGCCCTGATAAAAGATGGATTTGGTTCCTGCAGTGGTTCAGACCAGCAGCTAGAGCTGAGGTTGCAACCCACAACAGTGCTGTTTCTTTAGAAATTATTTGAAATCTCTGTTCTAAATAAGCTGACATTTAAAAGCTGTGAAAATCAAGTGTTTTTTATCTTCCAAAATGATAGTGGGTAGTAATTTGAGCATTAGGTCTACAAATCCAAGATTTTCTGCAGTCATACACAGGGGAGAGTTTGATATTGATGGTAGTTTGGGACATGAGAAACGAGACTGAGTTTACTTACTCTCTATTTACTCTCTTTGCATCTGTGTCCTGTTGAGAATAATTTCGATTGTGTTTTCAGGGTGACTAGTGGCAAATGACCAGATGCTCAGTTTGGTGAGATGCAGCAGTGTTGTCCATGGGATGACAGATGATATCAATAGATCATAAAGTTTACTGAGGCAAAGCTAGCCCTTGCTTAGTTTTTCAAATCCAGGCTTAAGGCACAACTGGCAGACTAATCTGAGGTTCTTCACTGTGTCAGGTACTTGCACTTGTATTCATCTCACACTGGCTATGGTATAACTCTATTTACTGTCTCTTCAAAGCATGGTCTGAATCTGTCCAAGAGGAGAATACACCTAACTGTATCATAAGGGTTCTGCAGAGAAATCTTTCCTCAAAGGTAGAGAGGCTGAGCAAAACAAAATAAAATACTTTCTTCTGAGAGGCTAAAACCAGTTATCTTTTCTGTACTCTGCAGGTGTCTGTAGTTTGTAGTGTGATCTATAAGGTGACTTACTGTTGCCTTTCATTGTGGAGTAGCCAGTATATAGTGATGAATGTATTATATACACTGTTCATGAAGAAGTTGAATTCTTTTCTATGTACACAGATTCTGTCTTTTATCGAGAAGTGTGTTGAAAGTTACAGAGTCTGGGGGGTATACAATCAATAGGATTCACTTTGCTTTTAGTATATTTGAATATAGAAGTTACATCTAAGTTTTTTGTTCTTTCTTGCTGTTTTTGTTCCTATCCCCATTGAGATGCTTAGTTGTATTTCTTGATGTGTATTTATACTGCTTATCTTTTTGACACCTGTACTCTCCTGTTCTTCCATCAAGTTGAAGCTTGAAGTTAAATTCAGGAAGTATCTATTTCTAGCCAGGGAACATCTGGAAAAGGGTTATACATCAGACACTAACCTGATTGCAGTCAAAGCAAAGTTCCATGCAACGGTGTCTCTCTTGGGAAATGACACTGTGATACTCGATAGTGGTCTAAGCCAAACTGTTGGCACTCATTGGGCCAGGAGAGCCAGAGCTGTTTCAGAAACAGGCAAGTCTGTCACAGCCTGTGAAGGTGACTGCTGTTTTCTGATGCTGAAGCTGAAATTCCAAATAATCTGTCTGTACTCAGAACTGTGCCTTCAGAAGCAGTGCCTTCTCCTAAGAAGTAGAAAGAGAAGTGGTCCTGTTAACGTGCTGGTGTTTGGAGTAGAGCTGATAAATTGCTAGGAGTGATTTCAAGGGAGGAATGCTGCTGCCCGGTGATTCAAAGCACTGTGCTGAAGGAGGTATCTTATGAAGACTGAAAGCCACAAGTCAGTGGTTGTCACTGACTGCTGCTTGAAAGCCTTAATGGTCTATAAATAACTGTGCGCTGCCATACTGAAATATGAAATGTGAGCTTCTGGTGCAGCAGAAACAAAAAGAATCCCCCAAAGTCTGCTGGTCTTACCTTTTCACTTTTCTTTGCTAACTGTGCACATTACTTAAATAAATTGAAGAACCTGTGGACTTCTCTAGCAACTGTGCAGCAATCCCTTCTGTTTCTCGCCTCATTCTGCTTACCAAGATGCACGAATGTATACCTGGCTTTAAGCTGCGTGGAAGTTGAAGTGATTAAGCACCTGATCGTGGAGCTGATGTGGAGACAGTAACTGGCCAGCTTTCCTCTGTTAGAGAGTAGCTTCCCTCTGGACTCGGTGT